TTAAGTACAGTGCTGTAGATCACAGTTCTGCATTTACTGCTTATAAATACTTATTTCTCTCCCCTTAAAGTAAATGTAACCTTTATGAAATTGGTATCCTGCCGCACATCCCTAAGAGATCACCCTGGGCTTTATTTGTTATTCCGTTGCCATTCTGAGTGAGGCTGACACACAGCTGGAGTAGAGCCAGCTCACTCTCTGTGGACGACAGGCCTCGTGGATGCTATTATGTGTCAACATCATGAACCAGTTAGCTGCCCCTGCAAACCGCTCCACTGGGAACTGAAGCAGCCTGGCATATTTTATCTTTCTTTGTTGGTGCATCCTTTGCTGGCCTGGTTTCTTTTATTAGACAGTCCATTTATAAAAGTTAAACTATTGAAGTTGAGACTTTTTTGAGTGCTGTTTGCTTCTTTAAGTAGATAAGTGCTCCAGTGTTGCGAAAATAGAGCATTTAACAATGCAGTGGGTGCGGTCACATAGGCTTCTACTGTTGTGTCTATAATGTGTTATTTGAAATATTTATCATTGTTAAATATTTATAGTACATTTATCAGCTGTGTCTTGTGTGTGAAATTCAGTGCTTGTATTATCTTTAGAATAAAAAAACAAGTCATTTATTTAGTTTCTGCATAAAATCTAGAGGTCAGGAAGGGAGGTCAAATAAATATGCAAATCATTACACTTCAGTTGATAATTCTCAGTATTAATTACCTGGGCATGTGTTAGTGTTCTACGTTATTGAGATAGAAACTAGAATACAATTCCCTCATATAGCTGCAAAAGCATTGTGTTAGCTGAATCAATTGGGTGTTGTTTCAGAGATGGCAGTGGGGAGTGATGTGCCCGAGGGCCCAGCATTCCCACAGTCCCAGTGTGTTGGATATAAATAGTCCACAGGCAGGAGCCAATTGTGGGGACATGCCAGTCAGCGGCCCTTATAACATCCCTTGTCCTATCTTAGCGACACGGCTGGAATATTGTTGAAATGATGGACTGAGTGTGGCAATTTTTCTGCTTGATGGAGAAAATGTAGTCATTTAGTCTCTGATGTGGTTTGAAATTGAAATTGAAATGTGTTGTGCATAGGTAATAGCCACAGTATTGTTTGTGCTGAAACCAAGTCCCACAAAGTTCAGAGCAGTTGTATCATACACGCTTAGAAGGAGTTGTTCCGGCCCCAGGCCTCCAGTTCTCTGACTTGTTTTGTGTGTGTTTTAATTTCTTTTGCTGTCCCTCCTGATTACTGTTGTGTGAGCCCTGCTCCCTGATTGGTAGGCACTTCTACACTTGGCCAATCCCACCTTACCTGCAGCCACCTCCCCCTATTTAAGAAGATACCCAACACCTACTTGGGGTTGCTGGCCTTTGTGGCCAGTCTGCCATTTTGTGTCTGTGTCTCTTTTGTGTCAGTCACTTTGATTTGTATGTGTCTGACTTTGTGCATTTTGAGACACTCGTTTACTGTTTATTTGTGCTTAATGTGTCTCTCATTATATGTCACTCGATTGTGTTTGTGACTCGTTCTTATTGAGACACTCATATTTTTTGTGGTTTTGTAGTTCAAATGTTTATTTTCTGTACAATTAGTTTGCTTTGTGTAAATTATTTTGAACTATTTATGTACATATTTCAGCATGTTTTGTTAATTTAATCCTTTATATTCCTGTTTATTAAATTATTATTTAATTTATACAATTTTCCCTCATGTTTTTTTTTTTTTACCTCCCTGACCCTATCTGAGAGATCCCGGGTTTAACTCCCGGACAAGCCCCAAGTTTGTTACGACCCTGCTTGACTAAGGTCAGAGAGGTAACAAAAACCAAGATGGAAAAAATTTTATAAATAAAGAAACAATTTAATAAACAGAATTGTAAAAGGTTGAATAACAAAAGTGGTCTAAAATATATACACAAAATAGCCACACAAAAAAAGGATTACATAAGTCAACAAAAAAAAAAGTGACTAAGGGACACATAAAACAAAACTAAATCATGAGTGTCCAAAAATAAAGTCACATAAACTAGTGTCTCACACACATACACAAAGTCAGACATGTACTAGCACAAATTAAAGTGACTGACACAAAAGAGACACAGACACAAACTGGCAAACAGACTACAAAGGCCAGCAGCCCCAAATGTGCAAACAAGCTCCTTAAATAGGGGGGATGTTTCTTCAGGTGAGGAGGTATCTTGCCGGGTGTAGAGGTCTTTCACCAATCAGGAATCAGCAACCCACAGACAGGGGCAGGCAACCAGTCCTCCAATCAGGTGTAAGGAAGGATGGGTTGCATGGGGAAGACAGGAAATTGCTGCCGCACATACAAGTTTAACAAAATTATAAACAAAAGGGAGAAGAGCTAAAGGCCTGCGGCTGTAACAGCAGTACATTCACTGATTTAGTTAATCTAGTTTAACAATGAAGTAGCTTTGAGATGTGTTTAAAATGTTCACTATGAACTGAATTTACAATTTACAAACTGTACAGCAGACAAAATTTTTCCAAAATTGTTCAACCCAGTGTTCATTTTTCCAAATGAATGAATATTAAATTGAAATGAATATTAAATTGAAAGTGTATTATGCTCACACAGTGTTTTTTTTTTTTTTTTTTTTAATGAGCTAATTGAATAATCTGTTCATGGGTTTCAAGTGAGGACTGTCACTTTTTTTTGTGTGTGTGTGTGGACAAAAGTCCTTAAAAGTCCTTAAAATCAGGAAATAGTCATGTCCCTGAAACCCATTAATACCACATACTATAAAATACTTTTATTTAATCACCAATGCATATCACTCTGACTTTATATACTGGTACATTACTACATTCTACCCCTATTCTAATCTCCTTGTGGCTGGCCAGGCAGCTACACATAGTCACTGGCTAAAGTCCCTCTTTTTCCCAGCTGTGGCTTCCTGTGTGCATTCAGTATGAAAGAAGAAATAAGATCAAATGGCAATATTAATGACGAGGAGTGGCTGGTACATTTCAGCCCGGTGAGCAGTGCTGGCCCTTCAGGGGATGCTGCTGTTATGCTTCAGTGCTCTCACTGCTCTTTCTGATGCAATTACATATGGAAGCACATTGTCATGGCTCTGAGTGAAGAAAAGTAATGAGAAAACAGGTGGGGCATACAAAGTCCATTTACATAAAAGGCCAGTTAGACACTTAAAGGTTGTATAGAGGATTTTCCAAGGAACGAGAAATCCAGCGACTGTTTGTCCTTTTTCAAATGTTGCGCATGCGTGAAACCACCCCCCCCTCCCCTACAGCTCCCTACGTAGAAACGCCTCCTCACTACGCCAGAAACAGGTTTGTTTACAGCCGGTGCGCTGCACATGACTTGTAAACAACTACAGTGTTGGTTAGGCAAGGCGGAGAAGTGAGGAGCGGGTGTGCGGACATTTCGTTCGCGGACGAGAAGTGAGGAGCAGGGAGAAGAACGGAGCGGGGAGCAGGGAGAGGAGAGAGGAGAGGGGAACGGTACGCGGAGATTCCGTGCCCGGAGAAGTGAGGAGCAGGGGTAAGAGCGGATCGGGCAGCGGGGAGAGGAGCAGGAAAGGGGTGCAGGGAAGGTTGCGCAGAGATTCAGTGCGAATGAACTAGCTACAACACGCAGCAGCAAGCGGACTCTTTCTTTGCCTTGAAAATTACATTTTCAGACATAGGATATCGCTTTCGTGTCCTGAAAAACGTTTGTCTAGCTCTTGGAAATAAAGTACGTTTTCATAATAAGCAGAAGTTACCTGTCCAGGAGTAATTTGGCGACCAGTGCGTCAGTCTTTAGACCCCGCGCCTGCTTCAGTTGCGCCATCGCTGGAATGAATCTACAAGAATCACCTTAGTTTGGCTTCGCTGCTTTTCCCCTTGTCTTCTTCTTTCAGCAATCTCAAAAACGGACTTTCTTTTGCGGCTAACTGCTCCTGGATTCTTGTCGCCATTGCGAACTTTGTGCGAACTGCGAGGAAGATATAGGTCAAAAAAAGCCGCTAAGAACTGTTGCGTTGGTGGAGTAAACAGCGTCTGTGCGTCTTGCGTCTGTGGACTGCGTGACAGGCGTACGCAAACCACGTAATGGCAGCGCGCAGGCAAGTCAGTTACGCTAGAAACGTAGGGAGTTTGATTGACAGCCTGTCAGCTAACAGATAACGAGGCAGTGTCGTTATCTATTGGCAAATGTTTAGCTGGCCCCACCACGTCCAGAGTTGATGAATTTTTATTCTCTTTTTTTTGGTCATCATAATTACAAGGCTACTGCACCTATAATGCTATCATTGACAATTTGAAACAAAAAAAAAATCCTCCATACAACCTTTAAGCAAAAAAGGGTTATCCTCCCAGTCTAGTTTATGTTTTAATAAAATGACATCTGCATTACTTTGATTCATCCCCAATGGGCAGTTCTTATTCTTATAATATAACTTATATATTATATCCTTATAATATAACTTATACAAATATTTACTCACAACATACTTACATATCAGAGTTAAGAAAAGCATGTGAGAAAATCAATTAGTTAATCTTATATGTTAAGATGTAAAGCTTCTTATTATAGAGGACATAACCATTTTGCTCAGAATATTTTTTTTGCCACAGTTCTTTGAACAATTAGAATGCCTGACCCTTCTGATACACACACACGCACACACACACATATGCACACGCACACACACACAGGCACACAGGGAGTAATGTCATGTAAAAGTTGAATTGTGATATTCAAATCCAGAGGTCCAGATGTCTCAAAAGTAATTACACTTGAAACGAGTTGGCAAAACCCTCAGAGAAATCCATTAACCAATTTCACTCAGTTGGATGTTTCAAAGTCTAATTCTTGAGTTGTTCAAATAATATTGTTGCATAATAATATACGTTTAAAAACATCTACTGCAAATCTCTGCAGTAACTTAAGTTGCATTAAATGAAATATAAGCTCATTATTATACTGACAGCCATTAAGTTTTTTAAAACATACTTTTAAAAAAGTCAACAAATCATTTTTAAAATGTATGCCAAACAACACTTTATTCAAGTCACACCAATATTTTACAGCATTTTTTGACTCATTCATTTTTACATAAGTGGTGCTGTGGCTGCCTTGTAGTTTACTACAATTTTATTAGACATTACTCTATAATACTGTGCATACAGCCACTTCAACTAAAAAATATATGTACAGACATCATTTTACACATTGCAGAATCACATTATGCATAAATAAATAACATAAGATTGTTTCCAGTATATATACCGTGACATCTCCCTACTTGCTCCGATGACAGTCCTTTTGTGACACAGACTAGCGCATACAGAAAGACAAACACTGCGAGCTGTAATGTTGAAAGGCATTGACAATATTACATAACAGATAACACTGAACTTAAGGCATGGGCAGGTTCCAATCAGATTATGGAAATGTTTACAAGCAGTTATTTAGTTAGAGTCTTGTAGAGTTGCACAATATATTGCATTTTTCATAACTGCTCTCTAAGCAACTGCAATTTACAAAAAAATAGAATGAAATAAAAATAATATAGCAATAATTATCCATGAAATAATAATGATTTAGCCAAGATTCACATAAATGTTAATCTTGAGTAATTATTTTTTTCAGTTATTATGTTGTTTTTACCAATGTAGTAATTGCATGTTGCATACTTTCTGACACTGAGCAGCTCTGTCACCTCAAGATCTGTCACTTCATGATATGTACCGATTTGTGCACCACAGTCCCTGATCTCAGAAGTAGACAAAAGAATTGCATTCAAACATAAAATAAAAACAGAACTATGTAAAAATGAGGTAATTACATTGTGTCACCATTAAGACATACTTTTAAAGACACTTAAATTATCAGCAGAGATTCATACCTCATTGACATAACATAATAAGCAAGTATATGCTGTCTAAAGGTGTAAACTATAATGATTATAATGAAAAATGCACAAGTAAAAGGTACCATAAGTGGCAGTAATAACTGCATGATGCACAGTAGCTGCATGTACTTTCTTACTACTTAATGTTCAAAAGATATCTTCAAAAGATATGCAACCTTTTTTCAGTATAATACCTATACAGTCAGTTTAAATACAGCAAAAAGTCTCTCCCATTTTCAGTTTAACAAATGCAGCAAATTGATTATAAATATTATCAAAAGTAGGAACAGTAGATTTGACACTATGCCCCCTTTCTATTAAAGAGAAATCCTTTAAGACAAGTGCTACTGCCTGGCTGCAGTCCATGTGCAAATTAGGCTCATTGTATTGACAGTCAAAAGCAAATGATAGGCCATATGTGGTTCCCTTTTCACCCTAGACTAATCCCACTTCCTCATTTACACAGTCCACACACAACATGTCATTCATACAAATCAATAAGTTAGAGGTTCTCACAATCAAGGACGGATCACAAACTGCACTGCAACACTAACAATATACGGTATCAGACACATTTTGATTGCAGATGTATAACATGTGGACTCTAGTTTCTGTTCAGTCAGTACTCCAGTCTGTCACAGGTATTTACATGTAGAATTACTTCACCATTAGACACAATGTTACTGTAAAGCGCCACATATGTCTCATTATGTACATTTCACAAAGCAACCATACATTGTGTATATGGTAATTCCAAGTTTGAGTGTTTGTATGCCTTTTTAAAACTACCGGTAATTACCTTATTTGTTAACTGTACCATTATTGTTGATAGTTCTCTGTATGCAGCATTTTAGATAACCTTTCTACTTTTATTAGAATAGCTGGTAACACTACAAAATTAAGTTCCCCTATTAAACACTAATAAAGAATACCTGTAATAAGAATGTTTAACTGCATGATGAACTAACACAATGTAAATTATAAGATTTTCTGTAATTATTACCTAAATAATATTTTTTATGTAATTACTTAATTCTTTATATTGTGCTGTTACCAAATGAGTTTTCCTTATAAGAACAATCTGATCTAGTTTAACTTATGTGAAGCATTGTGACAAATGCAAGCTCTTACTGTAAACTAATCCTTGTTCCCAATAACATAATGTCTACTAACTGTGTTTTCTTGCTGTGTGCTTTTTTACTGTAATATTGGATCATCATGTGAAGTGAGCACTCTGCGGGGACTCTCAAACCCATGGGACTTCTCGTCGAGTTGGCCTGGGCTTCGGTCGGACACTGTGGTGAAGGACAGGTGGTCATGCTCCAAAATGGCCATGCGGTCTTGAGGTTTCTCTTTCTTCAGGTAGAACATTTTCCTGAGCTGCTTCAACTGCTGCAGCTCACAGAAGGTCTCCAGCACCACCAGCATCACGATCAGGCCCAGGATCAGGTACACTGCAGAGACAGAGAGCATGAATAAGGGGGAATGTTTTAGGGATAACCTTACAATATATTAATGAATAAGTGGTTTGAAATTAAAAGGTGAGTTCAAAGTAAACATGTATTTTGTAGCAAAGATAAATGAAAAAAGATAAAAAGATAAACATTGTATTTCCTGTTTAGGGCTGGGCGATAAGGCAACCATGATTTTTTCCCTCTTATTTACTGATCACAGTTGTTTATTATTATTATTACTATTAAAACCCCAAAATATGTATTTTCACATAAAGGCAACAAAACAAAATCAATACCGAATTTTAATTAATAACAAAAATGTGACCACTTGCTTTTACTGCTACAAGATAGACTAATTGACAAAGTTGAATAAAAGCCCGCAGCTCTATTATCTTCTTCACCTGGTTTTTGTTAGCTGTCTGTTAGATTATTTAAAACAAAATAAAGTGTTTCATTTAATCAAAATGAGTAAGCTCCTATATTATGCTAAATTGACTTTTGTGAATTTAACACTTCATCAAAAATATTCCTGAAGTTGTGTTCCAGCATTTTTACTCTGTCTACTCTCCAAAGCTCAAAATGCTCTGTTCCACCTTGTGATGTCATATAGTGATAGTTAACAGCTATTTTTAGCTTTGGTTCAGCAGAGATCGGCAATTCCAGGGCTGAAATTATCCAAAATAATTCTAGTTAAGGTGTGTGGAGTTTAAAAACACAGTGGAGCACTGTATTACCACATGACATCACAAGGTGGAACAGAGTGTTTTCAGTTTTAGAGAAGAACACAGCCTAAATATGCAAGGTTTGTGTTAAACAAGTGTGAATGAATGAAAAAAACAACAACACAACATTATAAATACCATAATATGGGCCCTTTAACTACATTATATAATTCTAGCTTTATTAGTAAAACCCATTTGGTTATGTATAGTGCAGGAAGTTGAACATATCAGACAGTGACTCGACGCTCATTCTGTCTCTTCCTTCCCACAGACAGACGCAGTGCCCACTCATGACGTCTCCACCACACATTCACATCACACATGCACAAGACAGCTCACTGCACTGCACTTCGGGTTTAAATCAGGTTAATATTTTCTACTTTACTCTGTCATTCAAATTATGACCTGCTATTGGATTAAGTTGTAGAACACTTAATTCTCCAACCAACAGAATAACATAAAATATAAAAATATGTGGAGTAGTAAACAAAGAAAACTGGACAGTATAATAATCATTTGATCTTTAACTGTAGCTGAAAGCAATGTACTTTCAACTCTTATTTAATAGATACTGCATATTTATTAAAGTGTGTACACAAATTCAAAACCATTGTTGTGAAATACGCAGGTACTTTTAGGTTCTAATGCAGTAACAGAAAAAATAGACTTCCAGTTAAATGCAGTAAAAATAAAGTCTGTTAAAACAGGGTCAGGACCTAAAACATTTCCCTATTCTATTGGCCACATTTGAAAAGTATGTGCTTTTGACTTGTCGATCACAGAACAATATTTACACTGAACGGATGACAGACAACCTATAGGCAAATAAACAGTTAACACTGTGGTCTCAAGCTCAAAGCAAATGTAAATAACTATAGTTTTTGAACAGTGCTTCACTTTACACAGCACCTAAAATTCCAGTACAATAAGCAAGTAATAATTACTTTGTGTCTACATTTGTGGCTTAATTAGTCTTTTTGGCTTAATTTGCAGTATCTAAAGCTCACCATTCATTTCAGCCTTGTAATGATGTTTGATTGAATAAGTTCTAAGATATATGTGAACGTACACACTTCCTGTATGGAATTTCATGTGTGATTTATGTGACTATTTTACAACCCCAAACACACCTGTTTTTAAGTTCTGATAACTCTAAGTGCCACATCCTTCTAGCAACAGGAAGTAATACATGTTGTGGTCATAAAAATTACATGAGGGGTTATCTGGGCTACATTATGAACTTAACAGAAACTTGTACACCTGTGACCAGTCAGTTACATATCCTCATTAAAAACAGTCAGGGGGAGAGTACCTAATAAGTTAGTTATTAACAAGTCTTTATATTTGAAACTCTATATATTTACTATGGACATGTTGTTTGGAACATAATGAGTAAGAAAAGTTTGAAGAAAACAATTTAAAAAAGAATACCCCAAACATATAAAACTTGCAGCTAGCTTGCAATGTAGTCATAATTAAAGTAGAGCAATGAAATTGTGTTTAGTTTGGTAACATAATCTAATTAGACCATAAATTAGTACACCCTTAATTGACGGTTACACTTAATATACCTACACCTTAATTAGCCTTCAAAAGTATAAACAAAGACTTTATGAATAATGAACAAATGATTACAGTTTATAAAGAATTATCTACTAAATTAGGGGTTAGGGTATTAATTAAGAAGTTACTTAATAAACTATTAGTTGATTATGAATTCTTTCTTCATGCTTTATTAAGTAAAATTAAGTAAACTTATTATAAAACATCATTTAAACTTGTTGTCAAATGCTTGACATAAGTAAAGTACCCACCTGTGATGCCCACTTTGTAGAGCTCTCTGAACTTCTGGTTGGCGGCCTCTCCGGGCACATAGTCACCAAGGCCAATGGTGCTGAGAGAGATGAAGCAGAAGTAGAAAGACTCTAAAAAGTTCCAGTTCTCCTCCAGCGCAGAGAAGATGGCGGCTGGAATAATGAAGAAGCAGGAAACAGCCAAAACGGCGAGGACAGCTGCGTGGACAATGGCAACCAAAGGTTTGGAGAAGCCCCAGTTAGTGTGGAAATATGCAATGGGCCGCCGAGTGCTGAAGACCATGATCCTTTGCACCACAGCAGTGAGGAAGAGAAGTGTGAAAGGTATGCCGATCACAGAGTAGATAATGCAAAATGCTTTACCCCCATCTGAGAGTGGGGCAGTGTGTCCATAACCTGTGCAGACACAAAAATAATTACATTAATTAAGTGACAGTTTAAAGGTGCACTATGCACCTTCTCTGTTGGAGGGTCCACCACCACCAGCTTCTCTCCATGGAGCTGTTATTGCTCTACCCAGAAAGTACCAATGTTCTTGTAATTATTCAGTAACAGGTGAGTGGTCTCACCTCTCTATAGATCTTACCTATAAGTTCACCTGATGGTGTCACCTGCTTTTCTCCATAAATAATTCCAATGCCATACTATACAGCCTTACAGGCAAAACAATAACATCTCCATGGAGACAAGCAGATGGTGGGCTATCCACAACTACTAACGTATGACTTTACCTAATTATCAGTACACATTTGGATTTCTGGTTTTAGAAAACCATTGTTAATAGGCAGGTGTTACTATTAATTATAGAGGTCTGTATTAAAGGAGAAGATTCAGTCAGGAATATTACCTGTCACGGTGGTAACATTGAAGTTTGTGAGGCAGATTGTGCATCTGTATTTCTATACTCAGCATTACCTTGTTTCCTTTATTTATTGAGATACTGACTTCATTAAAATAAACCTTGGGTGTTGAGTAATGTCACCACTCTTGAGTAAAAAGGACTTTGTAACTTAGTACAGACTTGAGAAATTCCAAGGTGCTTCTCTTAATAAGAGTGAAAATAACAAAGTCAAATGGATTTACCTTTAAAAACACAACAGAAAGACACTGAGATGGCACACTTTTACTAGCACCAAACTTAAGGCAGTAGCTTAATGCATACCACACAATGCACTCTATATTGATAATAATCTCTTGAATTATATGTGTGTTGCAACAGCAGAGATAAAGCTGCGGTTAGCAGCTGTGGTTAGACTAAAGTTCTTAAGATGGCAAGTTAGACACGTACCTTGTGTCATCTGTCTACAATGCTCTGAAAGCCACAGGCTTGGGATTAATCTAGAAAAGCACTAATGACATTGGCAAATATTGACTTATGTTAACATTTTTACTGAAGCCCTAAAGATTTAAGTGAAATAGTTTTCTGATTGCTGTCATTCGTTTATAAAAGGAAAATTGTGAAAGGTCAACACAACACTGAGTACTGTGTGACTTTGTGAATGTAGGCTGAAGAATTTAAAACCATTATTTCTAAGTTTTATTTTTCAGGCTGCATTCCAACTGTTGTGACATTACTGTGGGTTACGTATATAGAGAGTAAAATTGTAAAATCTTGTAAAGAACTAATAGTAGTAAAACATTCAAATAGCCTATATAATGAAATATTGAGCAAATTTATTCATCTGAATGTGAATTAAGGCATGATGTAAAGTAATTATATAGACTAGGTGGTGTGCCTATCCTTATAGCCATGAAATTGCTGTTTTGTTATTATTTTTTAGCTCATTAGGCAGCATAATAATCAAGGCCTTAACCAATCCGACCTTGCGCCACAGCATCATCGCGGGGCTTACCTGTGGTGGATAGCACGGTGCTGGCGAAAAACAACGCAGAGGTGAAATCCCAATTCCAGTTGACCGAGGCGTTATTCAGGATAGAAACCCCATAATTACTTGCGTCCAGGGCTCTCTTTAAAAACCGCTCCAGACGCTCCTCAGATATACACTCATTCTCTTGGAGGAACTGCTTTTTGATGGCCCTTAGCTCCTGACGCAGAAGGTCTTCGTATGGCAGCTCCACGGAGGAAAACACCACCGCACCAAATATCAGATAAAGAATATAACCCAATACCAGGGAAATAAAATACCATGTTGATTTATGAGTCTGTATCAAGCGAACGCACGAATTACTGGCGAGAGACTGGAGCATTTTGAGGAGAAGGACAACAAGCAGATACGCGTAGATCTTGTAATAGAAATGCAGTTTGGCTATTGTCTTAACGCACAAGGCGACCAACCGATGTGAACGAAATACGAGATGCTAGAAAAGACAAAGCGCAAATGAGCCCTCTTCTTCCCTTTCTCGAGCGACAGAAACCTGCTTTGACAAATGGTGCATTCAAGTACATTCAGAAATGCTATACTTATATCTTTTTTTTTTTTTTTTTTTTTGGTTACATATATATATATATTTGGTTGCTAATTTTAAAGTCAAGTGAATAAATTAAATTATAAAACGCTGGGGTGTAAAATACGATTATTTTGATAGTGTAATCTCTCAGGAGTCCAGGCAGGTACGTTCCATTGTTCCATGTTGGTATATTTTCCAGATATTGGGGGTCCGTGAACGCGTCCTGTGATGTGGCGACAAGTGCCGCGCGTGACGTCGGTGCTTCTCTTCCTCCCACAAGCTTTCACTTTCTGCTCAAAACAATCGAAAATATCATTGCACACTGACCCATCTTAAAATAGCTTGTTTTCATACAATATACACCCGGCCTATTATACAGTAATCCAATTCTGTATCCGTAACTCATGTAAATAGACCATTATAATGTAGAATTAATTAATCTTTATAATGAATATATGCGTAATCGTTGGCACCACATTTCCAATCATTATTCATCATTTACTCAGCTTTCACAAAAAATACGTTTTTAGATCACTACACTGATACTACAACCATTCAAACACTGACCTCTTGTGGTTGTTAGGAAAAAGTATAATTTGAGTTTCATGCATGGATCTATTATGCTGTTACATAATTTCCTATTTCTTACAGTCTTTGTTGGGCGCCACAGAAAAAAAATATATATACGTAGGCTATGGATACCAGATTGTTTTTACAATATTGGAATTCATAACTAAAAAAGAAATTAAGTTAAGTTATAATGTAATTACACACAACTGTGTAATTACACAACTGTGAACACAACAGAACTGTGTATTTGGGATTGTACATTGTTTTATAAATAATCCAATTTAATCCGTGAATGAATTAATGCTTAACACCAGAGTTAACTCCTGATCGGCCATGGCCCATTCGGGCTGCCGTAGTAATGCCACCTTCTGGCGCACCTCCTCAATGAACGCTGGAAAGATGGCGACGGCATACGCACAAGCGAGAGTCAACTGTGCCGGCGGTTAGAAAGTGCTCCAAAAACACAAATATTGGACGTTTTTGCAACCTATCGACGGTGCAAAGTGTATCTGACTGCGTTAGGACATGGTTTAAAGCATGCATATTTCGTGAAAAGAAACATCGGCCTTGCAATGGAGCCTCCGGATCGTAACAAGCCCAGCAGGTAACAGACGCTACACCATCAGGACTTAGGGGCTGCCAAATAAAGAGCTCAATGTGACACCGCAGTGAGCCTGGTGCACATTGACTTCCTGTCAAATAGTGCGGCGGTGCAGATACTGCATTTCTCACGCCGGAGTTGCAAACTTTTTGGAGCAGCGCTTGCTTGCGCACTTTGCTGGGGATTCTTGCGTTTTGTTTCGTTTCAGGGCTTGGGAATATGCCGCGATGATCAGCAAATGAGAAGGTAACCTTATAGGTAGGCTAGCAGCATCCGAAAGAGTAAAACATGTCACAGTACATGCTAGCTCTTATTTACTGTTAGCTGCATGTTCAGTGTATTGTTTATGGGCAAGTTGAGCAACAGTTTTTGGTGGTGAAAAAAACAGGCAAACCATTTATTAATTTACATTAATGTGGTCAACAATGCGTAATAACAACCATTTGATATTCTTGTAGCGTGCAGTTTGTGTTAACCCCTAGCCACAACTTTGGGACTAGCATGTTGCTCTTGTTTCTGTTGTTAATTGTCGATCTGGACCAGGCGCTTGTGTTGTCTGCTGAATCATGACATGGACTCTGTACTTTTAAAACATGACATTAATCATCTGATTGCGTGTTTTGTGTTGCACACAAAGGCTTTGCAAAGCCCTGTCATCATTGTGCAGGGCAGTGGAGTTGTTCAGGTGGTTCAAGTCACCAATCCGTACATTTTAGCCTTCTGCCTTACGCATAAAAATCTGTCGAAATACCGGACTGTTTGCCCCTGACCGCAGGCAGTAGACCCTCAGGAATCCGCTGTTGTGTCTTCTCTCTCCTCCCTTCCCTTCGCATGCAGTTGTTGTCGACGGACTTCGAAGGGCATGTATCATCTCGGATCAACAATGTGGCGGCTATCATAATCCCGGATTTTGTGAGAAATACCAGGTCTTTCTATTGTTTGCTGTTGTACTGTTATTTCATGTTCAGGCCAGATGCCGTCTGTGCACTCTGCGTGCAGTCACTCGGTCTGAAGTGGACACAAACAGCTCACATGATTGTGCAATACTAGCCCTAATGTAATTGCACTCAGCTCTTGTTGCACACTACAAAAGTGTTGTATAGTTCATATGCAGTAAATATTTTGATGCACGCATGTCACGTCAATGCACAAAAGGTGATTTGCATGCAGTTGTGCACGAAAGCAACGCACACACTGCCTCTCAGAGCATAAGATGCTTCTGTAACCTAAGTTTACATGTCAATTGCACTACTGCAATAGTAGTATTCAGATACCCTTGCTTATTTTGCATATTGTACAAAAAGTCATTTTAATGGTCTTATTTCTCTTCTGTTCAGATAGTAGTGCTAGGCTGGCAGTGGCTGTAGCTGTTGCAATTATTGTTGCACAGAAGGCCTTTGTCATGATGTCTTGTTCTCAGTGGGTCTGGAGGCATTCCTGGGATTTCAGGATGTGGTGTACAGTACATGGAGAAACGATGCTTGGAGCCCTGCAGACACTGCAAGCTACAACTCATTAATGGCCACATTTGAGCACAGGCTGAGATACAGATGGAGCGGCCTTCTGCATTTCCTGACTGCATCCTGTTTCTGCCCACACCTGCCTCAGTCCAAATTAATGCAGCGTGTTCTGTCACTGTCATCTGCTGTTTCCTTTTCAACAATGGGATCTTTTTAAAGTTTGAAACTATGCAGTTATACTGACAAGTTTGCATTAGTTGGGTTGGACTAGCACTGACTAAATGCTTATTGTGCTAATGTTTCTTGCAACTGAAACTTCAGTGCAGCCAGGTGTTTAATTTAGTTAAATTACAGTATAGTTAAAGACACTCTGTGTAGATAGTCTTTGTGCTGCAGTACATATCAGCACTGTCTACATTTAGATTCATTTAGGCTACATGACTCAGGATCCATGCTATAATCTGCTGCTATAGAGAGATAAATGCTGCTTGTAAAGAATGTTATAAAATCAGTGACTAGTAATGGTTTTAGTGGGTAAAGTGACTTGTGCATTCTCTAGAATTGCTGCAGAGTTGGGATTGGGACATGTGCATGCAGTAATGTCATGGTGTTCCCGAGAAAGGGTGAGGTCAAGTCAAGTACGCTGTGTTCATTGTTTTTGAATACTCACAGCCTGTGGCGCACTTATAGTGGCTCCACTATTCTGCATGTTTATCAGCAGTCCAGTCTGTCCACACTGTATTCTGCTTAAACATTAAATAAGATAGCACTAAAATGGCATGGGGTAATTAGGCAATAACATTAAGATATCAAATTGAAAATCTTCTTTGCCATTACAAAGTAATTAGTAGAAAGTGTGCTCTCACAAAACATGGACCTATCTCCTCCTTTGGCCTTCCTGTAGATTGGGCATTGTGAGTAAGTGTGCTCAGCAGCCAGCTGTGTGCTATTCAGCTGTGGGCCTCACAGGCCACGTGTCACTGTGATACAAAAGAGTGGCCCACTCGGGCACAATAGTGTGGATGGTGACAGGTCAGAGGTCAGGCCCCCCTGACTCTGGCAGCCCCTAGTATCGCTGCTCAAGTCGTCAGAGGAAAAAGGCTTCTGAATTTGTGGTGTTTATTATGCACTCTGTGTTGCACCCATGGGACTGTAGCATTCCGCTGGCCTTTATTGGAGCCATCAGATGAGCCATTGAGAGTGGCCAGACACCATCTGCAGTGATATTTCACCAGTGCCAGCCACACAGGGACAGCTTGAAGACCATAGTGCGGTCATAGTTTAGTGTGAGGTACTAACTTTGCTTTTGCAGACAACAGAAAAGTTGAATAAAATGTAAAGACCGCAGCTTGAACAGCTCAGTCTCTCATGGCAACCAAACAAACAATCATCTGTGATGGCGTCATTGGTTCCTCTATCATTCTTCAGTGATTCAGTCATGCTACGCAGACTTGCGTAGATGTTTCTATTTATAAAACTTGGCTTTTTCCCTCTCACATGCATGTACTATTTCTGTCTGCAGACATCTCACACCACCTTATACCTATTTAGTCATTTACAAAGCTCTTAGTTATTACATGTAGTAGGGTATGCATTAGTTATTTTCTCCATGCAGGCATTTCTTAATTTTCTCTTACATTTACAATTTTACTACTGTGAATTAGACAGTCTGTGTAAAAAGACAAAGACTTGTTATGCTAATGCAGAAAATACTTTTCATAATGTTCCCTACATTATATCCATGAAGGCACCAGTGAGCTAATATGTGATGGCTGCAGGCTGTGCTGCTGAAGTGTTGCTGCTCTGGTTCTTGCAGAAGCTCTGTGTTTGTCTCAAAGTGTGGCCATGCAGCAGGTGTCTGTCTGTGAGCCTGCTGCACCACTACACTCCCTGGGGATTCAGTGTGGGCCTCGTTTAAATATTCTGCAGTTAGGCAGATGGACAATACAAGTCTCTCTCTGCATGTGGCGCCCTGAAAAGCTTAAGCGAGTCATTTCCAGATTATCCCCCACACTTCAGCACACTTCACCCTTAACACTCACACACGCTTCACAGTGAAAGCACAGCAGTCCTGCCCCTTTCAGAGTACAACAGGCGCGTGTTGGGGAATGCCTTTCAGTCAGATGATCGATGGAGGACCACAGCAGTAACCAGCAGCTTTTCATGCCCCCAGAGAAGGGAGGTCTCTGCCTTTGTTTTTGTGGGGTCACGCCTTCCAACCTTTCACTTTAATCCTATAAAAAAACTTTCAGAAATGCATTAGGACCAAAGATTTGGCACTGTAATTGAGAAATCCTGGTCATATGTATAAAATTTTTTTCATGGTGTTGTTAGATAACAACTTAAGCAATTACTCTTTATTACAAGCTGATTGCCTTCAGGTCAGGTATTGCAATATCAACATTTTAAGAATCCACTGCTTCGCACAACATTACCTAGTTTACTTGCGGCCAAGCAGTGTCCACTTTGAGCATGTGGTTGATGAGTGTGCAAATGTTTGCTGCAGCCACATTTTTGAGCTCTGGTTGGGTCATTATGCAAGTTTCAGAATAAGATGCCAAGATATAGCTCAACATAGTTTTCTTTGTGCAACTCTTTAGGTGCACAAGCATAGCTTTATTAAAGGGGAAATAGATTGATAGTAAATTTATAACCATGTTGTAACAGTGTCACCTTAATTTAGCTTACTGAAAGTTACATTTTGAATGATTGATGCATGTTTTTTTTTGAGATCTCTAGAATTGCCTCATATATTTAAGTAAAGACAGGCTTCTCAATACTGCAGTTTTGAACTTTAAGCCAATGGACCTGTTTCTATTATTAAGTGGTTTGTCAAACAATGGCCTATGGATTTTATAGTTTAATACTAAAAACTCAAGAAAAAATATGTTTAATGTAAAGTCTTATAGTCTGCCATCTGGAGCTGTGTGTGTTTGTTCTCATAACAAGAACCAGCAAAAGTATAGTGTGATAGAGATGAGCATAATTTAGTTTTGTGCATTGTTTAGATTTCCAGGAAATGTGATGTAACATAAAGCTGCTAAGTTTCCCTGTGGCCTAAATTCTATTCACTGTTTACAGGCAGGCCAACCCACTGGACAATGTGTCTCAACAAAATGAGGAGGAAGAATCCTGCGACTCTCCCAGCGAGGAAGAGGAAGCAGCATACAGCACTTCTCCTCCTTTCAGCCAGCGTCAGATGAAACGCATGTCAGGGAAGCACCAAAGAAACTGTCAAGCAAGGAGTGGTCGCCGTTCTCCCAACAAAGGTATGTCAACTGCAGTTCAGGTGATATGAATCATGAACTGGTTTGAACTGTAGGTACGTCAAACTTACACTCATGTGCATATTAATGTAATGAAACATGTAATTTTGTATTTTAGTGGAAGCAAATCCATCCGTGATGAAGGAGTGTCCAAGACTGGTGGAGACTCCTGAAGAACATAGCTACAAGCAGGGTAAAAAGCAGCGAGACACAATACGCACCTCTGCAAGAGACAACAAGAAGACCTTTGAAAGCTCCTTCATGCTAGACCCCCTCTCAAAGTCTGGCCCTTTTGGTGCCCTCAGCATGGATCCACGCAAACATTACTTGAGCTTAAGTAGCAAGCTCCCAGTTTCTATGCCTCACATGGCGCGAACTCACAGGCAAACCTCCAGAACTGACTGCCCAGCCGACCGCCTCAAGTTTTTTGAAACACTGCGGTTGCTCCTTAAACTCACATCAATGTCCTCCAAAAGAAAGGAGAAGGAGCAGAGGGGCCTGGAGAATATGGCTTTTATGGGCCATAACAATGAGGTTATTTGGTTGGAACTTCAGGCATGGCATGCACGACGCTCCACTAGTGACCAAGACTTATTTTTGTTCACTGCCCGCCAGGCCATTCCTGACATCATAAATGAGGTGTTGCACTTTAAGGTCAACTATGGTAGTCTGCGATTGGCCCAGAGTTCTGAGTTTCAGTCATCGCAGGAGGACTCTCAGAGCGGGAGTGATGAACACTCTGAGAGCACTCAGTCTGTTGTGGAGGTAAATCACATTGGGGCTGACCAATGGGGCTTCAGTGCCTGCCCCTCCATGAATGCAGCAGAGCCTCTGGGCTCTGGGGCAGACTGCAGGGAGCACCTTCAGCGGCAGCGGCTGGCCTTTGAACAGGTCAAGCGTGTCATGGAGTTACTGGAGTCTGTGGAAGCCTTGTACCCATCTTTGCAAGCCTTGCAGAGGGATTATGAAAAGTATGCAGCTCGGGACTTCCAGGGTAGGGTGCAGGCACTCTGCCTGTGGCTTAATATCACTCAGGACCTTAACCAGAAGCTACGTGTTATGGCCACTCTGCTTGGCCTGCACGATCTGTCACGCATTGGGTGGCCAGTGTTTGAAATCCCCTCTCCTCGCTGTTCCCGTGGAAATGAGGAAGATGAGAATGAAGAGGATGAGGAGAATGATTCAACAGCCACATACACCGCTGAGAGCGACGCAGAGGAGGAGGTGACACTGGGCCCGGTGCCGGAGGGAGATCTGTCTCCCTCTCTCACTCCCAAATTTGCTCGATTGTTATCGGAGGATGAGTTTCTGTCTTCTGCTGGCACTACAGACACATCTGGAGGAGTATTCTGTCCAACTGCAATTTACAGACCGTTTGTGGATAAAGCTCTGAAACAAATGGGACTGCGAAAACTTATCTTGAGACTGCACAAACTCATGGACCGGTCTTTGCAGCGATCGAGGGCAGCCCTGCTCTGCCATGTCCCAGCACAAGAGGTGAGCTGATCTTTACAGTGTACAGAGGAGTCATTTATTTTATCTATCAGTTTTTTCTGTAAACTGATATCGTTTAGGAACATTATTGCATTTCTACAAATTTTCTGTAAATACAAAGCAATCCTCAAAGTGTTAATGATAATAAAACATAAAATTTGCGTGGCTGTTTCCTGGACACTCAAAGATGCTTTACAAACAAACAAGACCTTAAACTGGGTGCCATACAACACAACTGAAGTCTACAAACCTTAGCATGTAAATCTTCATCAACTGAATCTGTAAACTCATCAGTCTTCTGTCTGCAGTTTTCCGATTTCCCAGACTCCATGTTGTATAGTGACTACCTGCCGGAGCTGTCCCGTACTGTATCATGCAGTGGCTCTGGACTTCTGGACCAGGTTTCCTGGGAGGATTTGCAGGACATGGACCTCCCATCTTTCCGACCTGCGTTCCTTGTGCTGTGTAGAGTACTTCTTAATGTTATTCACGAATGCCTTAAACTGCGACTTGAACAGAGGCCTGCTGGTGAACCCTCTCTCCTCAGCATCAAACAGGTAAATGCTTTATGTATTTGGAAAGTGCTGTAAAGTCTCAAAGTACATGTGGCTAACCCATATGTGTCTTTGTGTTGTCTTCTCTATAGTTGGTGCGAGAGTGTAAAGAAGTTCTCAAAGGTGGCCTTTTGATGAAACAATACTATCAGTTCATGCTGTGTGGAGTTGTTACTGACGCTCAGGGGCTGCAGACTAACGCTAATATTGATGAGTTTGAGGAAGATCTGCACAAAATGCTTGTGGTAAGACTTGATACACATTAAATACAAAAGAAAGTTTTTTGACTTTGGATGAGCCCACTGATTTTTCCAATCCACTGTTTTGTTTGCAGGTCTACTTTGACTACATGCACAGTTGGATCCAGATGCTGCAGCAGCTGCCCCAGGCCTCACACAGTTTAAAGAACTTGTTAGAGGAGGAATGGCATTTCACCAAGGTCATTACTCCCTACATCAGAGGGGGAGAGGCCCAGTCAGGGAAGCTGTTCTGGTCAGTGTCCCCCACCCAAAGTAGACCTAAAATTTACTCATCATGGCCTTTTTTCCAACACTGACATGTCTTTGCTTATTGCTTATAGTGACATCGCTGGTATGCTATTAAAATCCACTGGAGAGTTTCTTGATGCTGGCTTGCAAAAAAGTAGCAAAGAATTCTGGGAAAATGCAGATGATAGCACAGCATCAGATGAGATCAGGTAAGAAGAATGTTATTTGTAGTATTTCTTTTGTATATTTTGATATTAATTTTTTGTCTTTTCTTTCCTAAGGCGTTCGGTTATTGAAACTAGTCGATCGCTTAAAGAATTATTTCACGAGGCCAGAGAGCGAGCCTCCAAGGCCCTGGGCTTTGCAAAAATGCTTCGCAAGGTGAGATGCTACTCTCAGGAATTTTCCCTCCACTAAAATGGTGCCAAAAGCTCAGAGCATGCAGTTTGTCTGCTGATTGTCCTTTTATAGTTATTTTGGACTACATGTTTGGACAGTGTGTTTACTTGCCTTTCCTCTGCAGGACTTGGAAATTGCAGCCGATTTCACTATCACAAATGGAGTGCCTTGTCTTTTGGAAGCACTCAAGAAGAGAAATTACGTGAAGGTGCATGGAGATACACAGTTACTCATTAGTGATGTATCCTCAGCTCACATACATTTTCCCCAAACAGGTTGTAATTCCTGGTTTAGAAGAACTTCAAGTGTTTGTTCCCTGTGGCCTGATGGAGCAGCGGCCTATGATCCTGCAGCTACTCAATGCTGCAGCTGGAAAAGACTGCTCCAAAGAACCAGACGAAATCCCAGAGGAGGAGGCCTACCTCCTGATGAGCAAACGTGGAGCTTCCTCTGAGTCTGAGTGGACTCAGTGGGATGGAGACTCGCTCACTCTGGTGTCACAGCTCGAGACAGTGGACACTTTGAGTGCAATGACGGTATGAATTAGCCTTTTGTTTTTATTACAGAAGGATATATGGATGGACAGATGGATAGATATGAGCATAAACAGAATACGTTATACAACATCTGGCTATCAACAGCATAAAAAAACAAGGTTTATACTTTGAGATGCTAAAAGTGCATATTCTTTGCTTTTTCTGAGTGAAGGTTCTTGCAGCTTGCTACAGTAGCTTACTTCTCTAGAGTAACTCATGTAGATCTGTGACAGTAACTATAGTAACTTACTGCTCAATATATGAAAGCTGAAACAATATGTTTTGGTGCTCAGTATTTACCGTGGGTACTTTTTCTACACTATTGGGACATTTGTGGTTATTTTTTGGATATACGATGCAATTTGAGTCATAAAAGTTGGAATAAATCACTTCTATTCTATTCAAACTTCATTACAGATACAACCTGTGCAAAGTGTTTCATTCTGGTGTTTATTTATTGCAGTTCATGATGTTGTAGATTTAGAATTTTTTCTGTGGTTTAAATCTGTTCTTGGCTTATTGTGTCAGTGGTCTATATTTTCTTCAGCATTTGACAGGCCTACTCCCATGTGCATCTGCAAGCACCTCCTTTTTTAACAGTAACTACTTAAGACCATTGTAACTCACTATTATTGTGTGTTTGGTTTTAGGTTGAAAATATGCTTTTAATTGTGACACATTCGGCTCACCTGGTCACCCAGCGCAAGGCATTTCAGCAGTCTATGGAGGATGTGCTCACGCTGAACAGAGAGCAAACCTCAAGCCAACCGCTCATTGCAACCGCACTGCAGGAACTTAAGGTAGTAATGTGATACATGCTGCAGTTGATTTACTTTAATGTATTTTATTCTGTGGCTTTCTAGTAACCATAGTGACGTTGTTTGTAACAGAATGAAGCACTACAGCTCTGCATAAAGATCAGCTCTGCCATAGACCAGGTGGAGTACATGTTCACTACAGATATTGAGACCGAAGTGGAGGAGTCAGAGTCCGCCACACTGCACCAGTACTACAGAGAGGCCATGATACAGGGATACAACTTTGCTTTTGAGGTAGAACATGCTTATATCTTCTCTTTATTGATGAATTATATTGAAAGTGATCCTTATGAAGCTTTTAAATAAATTCCTTACACAAATAATAATTATTACTAACTAGCAAGCTACTGTTTTCCTTTGTTCAGTACCACAAGGAGGTTGTACGTCTGATGTCTGGAGAGTTCAGGCAAAGGATTGGGGAACGATACATTGCGTTTGCCCGTAAATGGATGAACTATGTCCTGACCAAATGTGAAAGTGGCAGAGGAACAAAGCCCAGGTAAGATTAAGAATTAAGCATACTAAAATACTACTACTAAAAATACTACAAAGATCATTCTATAAATTTTCCACAGAAAGATAGTAATAATCTGTGTAATCCTGATAATGGTTTATAAATAACAAATCTTTTTTATAAACAGGTGGGCAACTCAGGGTTTTGATTTTCTTCAGGCAATTGAACCAGGTTTTATTTCAGCACTACCAGAGGAAGACTTCTTGGTAAGATCCCCTCCTTATAAACTGCTGTTACTCACACATGTAAATAAAATAACAGTAAATAATAAATATGTACTGCAGAATTTACAAGCCTTGATGAATGAATGCATTGGACACGTAATTGGGAAGCCTCATAGTCCAGTAACGGGGATGTACATTGGTAAGAAGTCATAGAAATAATACACATGGAAATATTGGAGCTGTGCAATTTAAACTTAAAAACTGTTGATTATTTTCATCATTAGCACCCAGGAACAGCCCTCGTCCAGTTAAGGTTCCCCGATGCCATAGTGACCCTCCAAATCCAAACCTGTTTATTTCTAATGCTGAGGGGTTTAGGTAAGTGTTCTACATCTACAGCATTTTTTTTTTTTTTTTTTACTATTTTCCACATTTTCTGCATGCCTTTCCACATTGGCTTGTCTCATTAAGCTTTGATAACAGTATTTTTCCATTGTGTTGAGTTGAGTGAATGGTGTATGAGTGTTTATTTGCCAAAAAGCCTCCCACACACACACGCCTCCGCACCACCCAAGGTAAAGCTCCTCGGTCTGTTTTCTCACTGCGCAGCTCCCGAAGCCTTCCCTGTGACCTCCGGACCCAACTGTTCCCCAACGGCCCCCGTCCCGTCCCTGTGGGCCCCGGAGACAACTCCAAAGCACCCAGCAGCACCCCCAATGATGCCAGGTAGCTTTGCCCCAAAATCAAACTTCTGAATCCAAACAGAGGCTAATTTTTAATCAGAGGCCTGTTCATATAATCTATACTACTACAGCTTTTTGATGAGCCTCTGAAATTTTTTGCTCTTTTAAAATTTTCAAATGACCTTAAAGGTGCACTATGTAACTTTTCTAGTGCAGGGTCTGTCACGTTTAAATCTTCATGGATATATTATTGCTTTGCGAAGAACGTTCCATAGCATTAAACTTATCTGTTTCCATATTTGTTCAATCAATTGTTATTAAATACATGCAAGCTTGCTCAGTTTAATGGAATACTGTGGGACATTTTAGACAAATCAATAACATATGTATGGAGATAAGCAGGTGGCAGTCCAGAAAGTTACATAATGCACCTTTAATTTGTTTTACCCAAAGTGACCTTGTGGTATCCAAAGATACTGCATTTACACTGAACCATTCATTTGAAGATCAGAACTAGATTTTGAAATCAATCCTTGAAGCTATAAAGAGCTAATGTGTCTTCAAAGGCAGACAATGTCACCCAAAGAAGAAAAGGTCTTATCTAATACACCTTAAAAGAAGGAGACCATAATTGTTGTGCATGGTGCGAAAATATAGGAAAGAAAGCTATTTTTTTTCAATGAGAGAGTGAGCTGTAATCTTCCTGAGTGCCATTAACATCAGTCCTGCTGTGATGCTGGTTATTCACTGCTCTTGTGACCTTTGCTTCTCAGACTCTAGGCTTATGTGTGTTTTATCTTTGCCTGCTCACTGTAGTGCTAATGGTTTTTACAAGCCACTGTCAAAGAGCTGAATCTTTGCTTCTTTTAGAAATGGCAAAAGCATCTATCTAATAAACTTGTTTGCCCTAATTTGAAAGTAACTCATTAAATGTAATATTATCCTGCCATCATATATATTTACTACAAAATAATTACACTATTTACTTAAAGACCACCTTTTTTACAGAGTATCATCCAGTTTCCATGAAAATGACAGAGTCTCATCAGTTGCTGCAGAATTACAATTTAAATCTATAAGTCGTCATTCAAGCCCCACAGAGGACAGAGAAGGTAGGTGCATTTTTCTTCATAATTTTTTTTATAAATTTAGTTGTCCTAAATATTTATGATGCTTTTCCAGAGCCCTCATATCCTCGAGGAGACCCTACTGTTGTTCGCCGAAGCTGGGAGCTACGCACCTGCATCAAGGGTGAGGCTGGTTTAGGTTTAGCTAAATCACTGAAATGTTTTTGCAACTAATGATTTTAAATCATTTTAGATGCAGCTGCAAGACAGTGTCCTATGGAAAATGTTCGGCGGTCTATTCGCAAGTTTGAAGAAAAACGCTACGCCGTTTTGAAACAACGCAATATCATCGGCCAAGTGTGTCACACACCAAAGTCCTATGACAACGTAATGCATGTGGGACTCAGGAAAGTGACTTTCAAATGGCAGAGGGGCAACAAGATCGGTGAGTGTTCGACAGTTTCATTATTAACAAGTGCTTGCATTTGTTTTAATTTTCACTCTCCTCTGAACAGGTGAGGGACAGTATGGAAAAGTATACACCTGTATCAATGTTGACACTGGAGAATTAATGGCGATGAAGGAGGTATGTAAGAAAAGAGAATTAAGTATATACTGTAAACAGTATTTACTGTATAATTCTGCACACTTTAAAATACTATCTGTTGTTCATTTTTGTAGATTCGATTTCAGCCAAATGATCACAAAACAATAAAGGAAACTGCTGATGAGTTGAAAATATTTGAAGGAATTAAACATCCTAACTTGGTGCGGTACTTTGGAGTTGAGCTTCATCGGGTAAGCTTTGCTTTAGCACACACATCAGTAGCACTAGTTTCGTGGCAGTTGTTTTGATAGTGCAGTGTTTGTACACAGGAGGAGATGTACATCTTTATGGAGTACTGTGATGAGGGCACATTAGAGGAAGTGTCCCGCCTAGGGCTGCAGGAGCATGTGATCCGGCTGTACAGTAAACAAATCACCACGGCCATCAACGTTCTGCATGAACACGGCATTGTACACAGAGACATTAAGGGTCAGCAGTCTGTTTCTAATTTAGTTAAAGTTCAGACAAACAACATATTTAACCATTTTGAATGATTTCCTTTTAGGAGCAAATATTTTTCTCACATCATCTGGTCTTATAAAGCTGGGTGACTTTGGCTGCTCAGTGAAGTTAAGAAACAACACTCATACAATGCCAGGAGAGGTCAACAGCACCTTAGGCACTGCAGGTACAAGCCCCCGCCTGTAATTTACCACAAGGTGGCACTGTTACATATTGTGGTTCTAACTGGAATAGGTCTATACAGTAGATGTGTACCATTAAATTATTGGTTTATTTCCTCTTAATTTGTTAGCATACATGGCACCGGAGGTCATTACCAGAGCAAAGGGAGAAGGTCATGGACGTGCAGCAGATATTTGGAGTCTGGGCTGTGTGCTTATCGAAATGGTGACTGGAAAGGTAATTCTCTACTGTGTTATTATTTTGAATTGTAAATATTGTGTTGTATAAACTTATGAACACATTTAATCCTCTATAATTAACTTAACCTGCAGAGGCCATGGCATGAGTATGAGCACAACTTCCAGATCATGTACAAAGTGGGAATGGGCCACAAACCGCCAATCCCAGAGAAACTCAGCGCTGAGGGGAAAGAATTCCTTGGCCACTGTTTAGAGAGTGAACCCAAGCGGCGCTGGACTGCCAGCATGCTGTTAGACCACACATTTGTAAAGGTACTTTTGGATAAATAAACCAAGATACTGAACCAAGAACTGTATGTCCACCAAATGGTTGTAGATTCTTTGTCATTGTGAGAAATTACCTTTGAAATTAATATAAATTATTAATTTACTTGTAGCATTGGTATCATAAATCACAACTGTTGCTGAGAAACCAGAATAATTTCTACAAGCATTAATTACACAATGTCTTTTTTTCTTTCCAGGTCTGTACGGATGAGGAGTAAAAGGAACTTTCTGTGGCTTTTTAAGTTTACAAATGAAGCACTACTGTACATGCTGTTAGCAACATGAACTGTGGAGGTGTGGAGGATTTATTGCTGAAGGCACATGGAGCTAAACTGAGGAACACAGATCATTTCAGAGGACAACTGGACCTAAGAGCACTGGGTCCTGTCTTGTAGAACCATGGACTGTACATACTGTAAGAAGAGGAATGGCTTTAACTCTTGTACAAACAAAATTGTAAAGTTTAACTAACTATTACCACAAATGTTCTTTTCACTGGTGAACAGACCTCCAAAAAAGGCATTTATTTTGTTTTTCTTTTAATGGGGCATGGGGTGGGTGGGGCTTAATCAATGGCACTTTTTAAACTGTCTATCCAAGGGAGCAGTTGACTAGAATAGGGGGAGTCTAATTGTGCGTGGTTTTAATTGCCACTCAGTGGAAGGAATTGCTTGTTCAATGAATTGAATACCATTCAAATATTCATATTAATTTATCACTTGTCTATTTTGGCAAGCCTGGGCAGGAAGGATTTCATTTTTATTTTATTTTTTCTTTGCCTTTGCTGAGGAGTAAATGTCAAATGTCCAAGCATTGTACAAGTGTGGTGAATAAGATATATTTTCATGTGACTGGAGCATAGCGGACGAACCGGAGTAACTGGGCACGCTCCCCCTCCCTGCTGCTGGAGACAAACGGCCAAAAACACAAAACACATAAACCACTGGGTCTCTGCTGCTCTCACAGTGTTTGCTATGTACAAACAATATTAATAAACCAATCATTTTTTTTAAAGAAATGTCAAACTTTGTCCGGAAGTTGCATTACACATTTCTAAGAGAGGTGTTTCTCACTATTCAGGGGATTTAGTGTAATAACCGCCACAACACACACATTACTGTGAGACTAATTTGATTTGCAAATGAGTATGGGAGAGTCTGAGCACATACTTCTCTGTCTCTGGAGGAAAGTACTATATTTACACAAGTCAGAAGTAGTTGTACATTTCTAAACAGTAATGTTGCATGTTAATTTTTATTTTTTTGTTTCTGGATAATGGTGCTATTTAAAACAGTAATACAAGATATGTTTTTATATTGAGAAATCTTTTTGTTGCAGACAGTTCAGACCTAAATGTTTTTCTCTTGAGAATTACTTACTCACACATATTAATTCTGCAGTAACAATTTGTATCCAAAATGGTTTAATAATGAAATATACAACTAAACATGAGGTACAAAACAGAACTGAAATTTACAACAAACAAACAAAAAAAAAAAAAGTCCTTTTAAAATTTTCAAACATCAAGTTCCTGTTTTTATTTTCAAGTTCAGTAATAGTACCCAGTTTTGTGGTATACTAATGTTTTATGTCTGTTTCAATTGCTCTTATATTTCCCAATCTTTAGCAAGAAGGTTAAACAAGCAGCAGACTACCTCTTAGCCTTAGCTTTAGTAGTGCTGAATATTATGCCTGCCTTTGTTGTGCTCCAAAGCAGGTCCACACTTGCTGGACCTGCCCTGGCCCATGAAGTGGGGGAGCAGTTAGCACTGTGTCATAGTGTTTAAAGAGACAGCAGCTCTGTAGGCCTCAGTTGTTGTTGATAGGGACCTCCTTATTTCCATAACTGGAGCCTCGGTCAATCTCAGTCTGGCCAATCATCCAACGAGCCCCAACTGATCCTGGAAACAAGAAGATAATGGTAAAAACTATCAAGAAGGAAGAATACAATATAGTAGAAATCACAATGGTGGTTTTAAAGATTAAAAGCTAATTTTCCAAACACTATGTGGTGGCAAGTACACTAGAGTAGTAGTTATTTGACCTCTGCAATCACTAGAAGTACTTTTATTATGTGATCTTAATCATGCTTCATAAGCACATGCCCTTTCAGATAATGCATAGGCTTTTCCCCCCACAATTTATGAGGTGAATTTGTAACCAAACTCAAAGCAGGCTTATTGCTACAGACATGCCCCCTAAAGTATCAAAGGGACTTACATTGGAGTGGTTCAGATCTGCTGCTTTTTTTAAACAGAGAGGATTCAGTTAAACAAAGGGGAGCCTCATTAAATGAAGCTGTATGGTAAAGGTGGGAACAAACCTGCAACGCACAAGGCCACTGTAGTCACTATGGTTAGCACTGCGCCAGAGTGAACTAGTTGAGCAAAAAGCAGGAACAACGGGAAAAGGAGGAGGCAGGACCAGAAGACCCAGTTGATCAGAGACCAGGGCCGGCGCGGGGGACTTTTAATGGGCCCAGGGAACCGCCCCGTCTGGGCATAGTGCTCTTGAAAGCTGTCCTGTTGAACAACAAAATATACCAAATATACCTGTAGTTTACAAAGCACAGGTCAAAACCACTGATTACTCCTTTGACACCATGGCTCACTTTTTCCTGGTACAGTTTGTGCAACCAAGCTGCACACTCCGCTTCACCTTCTGGGACTGTATCCAGAGGGATTCTTCTGCAAGATGCAAATAATATACAGCTTTACCAAGACAACAAGAAGCAATACAGGGCCCATTGTACTTTTAAATAACATTAAGCTTACTTTACCTCACATACAAATCAGCATGGTATTTCTTCCCATTCAAGAGTCCAAGCAAAGTTGGGGCTTCATTATTTCTGAAATTTAGTGTTGAATCGTACACAGCAGCAGCTAAAAATCATTGAGTATACTCATTATATATGGAAATCAATTGCTATTCATACATTACACAGTAATTACACTCACCATTTCCTCTGAGATTCTGGACAGTTACCCAGAATCCTTTGGTGCGGGGAAGAAGATGATACTTGAGTTTTGGAAGGCCTTTGCTCTCTGCCACCTGCATCGAGATCTCGTGCTTCTTTGGTGTAAAACGTGTCCCTTCACAGTGAAGCAAAAACTGCATAAAACAAGACAAAACATCAGCAACTGAACTAGTTTACTTTTTTAGGTGCACACTTTGCTTGAAATGTTCCACACTATGGCATCAAACATATCTATCTCCATGAAGACAAGTAGGTGTTGCCACAAAGTTACATGTCAGATGTTAGAAAAGTTACATAGCACATATTTAAACAAATATGTACATACCCAAAAGTTTTCTGGGTAATCGTGCAGGTTTTGGAGACTTTCAGCTACAGTTTTTCTGTCATCCTCCCACTTTCTCTTGCAAAACACTATCTCCAGGAAGTACCACATCCACCCAATCACTGGTACATAAGCCAAATCCTTTTTGGCAAGCACCTTTGAGCTCTTAAAAAAATATAAAATAAAATAAATTGATATAGAGAAATACATATTTAAAAAGAAACAAATCTACTGGTTCTTTATCTTACCCCTAAAACCCCAAATCGGTCACAGAAGGTCCAACCACACAGGAAGTCAATCTCAAAGTTGTGGTTGAGGACAACTATAGCATTTTCTTTTCCGAAAAGAGGGTAACTCTTGGGGTCTGTGTAAAGTGTGCACTCTGTGCCCGACCACCACTCCAGCAGTGCAACCATCTCTGAGAAAAAAACACTCAGTTATATTATACAGTACTTTATATTTGTGTGTGATAAAATATACACATTAATACTAGTGTGAGGCCAAAACTGGGGCTGAACTATATACTGAATGTCAAAGTAAAATTCTAAATAGATTAGTAGAAAGCCTTATTCTTCAAACTATAGTACTTACGACTCATAATGCAGTAGCCCAGTCTAACATTGACTTTTCGGGCGAGTTGTTTATTGACAATCCACAAAGGTAAAGTGCACAATTGTAGTAGATTGACAATGATACCACTGGCCATGAACACATACACCATTAACAGGTGAAACACAAACTGAGATTTTAGCAGCTGCACGAGCCCCATCTGTCAAGAAAACACAAACAAAACATGCAAAAATGTAATCAAACAAAATCAAATCATAGAAAAATTTCAGTTTTATGAGTTTAGCGAAGACTTGTAGTGTGTAGTAATCTTGTTATCCACCGGTCTCGATCTGATTAAAGGTCTCATTTGACAAGAATAAAAGAGGACATTGAACTCTTAAGCGGTCAAAAGCTGTCAGAAAATGTTTCTCTCCATGCTTGTGAGCTCATTCATAAATATTCTTAAAACAGAGACAACATACAGTATATTCCTTACTACAAAGCCTGACTAACATGGCTACTAGATAAGGATATTAATGATGCATTAGTCAGTTTGCATAAAGCTCTAAACCAGGGGTGTCAAACTAATTTTGGTCCGGGGGCCGTATTCAACATACTTTGATCCTAAAGGGGCCGGATCAGAAAACTCATGTCATATAAACCCCAAAAATAACAATAAGTTCAAATATTTTTGTAAGGAAATGCAAATCTATTACAGAAATCTTATTTAATTGTGGAACTCTTTCTTTTATAAAATATTATGAACAATCTGAAACTTTAAGAAAAATGCAATTTCAACACAATGTTTTAACATGAACTTGTATGCAAACAGGAATAAGTCACTTTTTCTTGTAAAATTCTGCACTCGGCTTCACTTTTCTCATTTTTGACATTTTGCTGATGAGGGTGTCACGGTCAACAGTCAAAACGATCGTCCTTTAAGAACGTTTGGAAAGAGACAAGTCTTCATTTGTGCTGCTCTGGTGGGAGGCATCACACACAGAGACGCTGGAGACGCTATGCTCAGCGCCGCAGAAAATGACCAATATTTTAATAGAAAATATAATTAAAATATTTTAGTAGAAAATCAGCTGAGGGCCAGATTAAAGGTCTTGGAGGGCCACATCTGGCCCCCGGGCCGCATGTTTGACACCTGTGTTCTAAACCATCCAGAAAGCACAGACAAGTAAAACGCTTAATAATAATCCATATGTACTACTGTCATGCTTCTACAATTTAGTTTATTGAAAGAACTGGACAGATAAACCCCTTGACAGCAATGCAATAATCAGGTTTACCAAAGTCTAATCTAAAAATGGTACATGCAATCATGCAGGCTCTATAATGGTTCAAAGGTCATATATTACACTACATTGACTCTCATGAGCTTAAAGCCACATAAGAGTGTTGTTACCTCCTCAAAAACATCCCTGGAATGGTGTTTTGTGTTTTGAGTAATCCTTTAGCTCCAAAGCTCCAACTTTGTGAACAGGGCACTTGTGTAGTTTAAGTTAGCTACCTTTTACATTTTGTTCAGTAGAGATTGGGTATTTCAGGGCTGAAATGATCCAAGTAATTCTAGTGAAGGTGTATGGATCTTAAAAACACAGTGGAGAACTGCTTGTATCAGCTACCACATGACATCTCAAGGTGGAACAGAGTGAGAGCGCCAACATATGCAGGGTTTGTGTGTTAACATGTGAAAAAACACAGCAATGGATATATTTTGATGAGGACACCACATTATAACATAAATCAGAAAACTGCGTAATATAAGCCCTTTAATCAGCTGCATGCTCCACCTTTGGTTATGTATGACTGCATTATCCAGGTCACATTAATAAAACTGAATAAATAACAGGCTACCATGTTGGCTAACTGCTCAAACACACTTACTAGTACAGCTCCACTACTACAAATTAAAACTCGGAAGTACACAAGACTCACCTTTGCGTTTAGCTTTCAATGTTGGACTAAAATAATCCAAAAGTGTAATGACAGTCCTGAGACAATGCGCCCTCAGTATGCGCTTTGGCGTTAAAGTCTTTTCTATCTACTTTCCCAATATTTGACATTCATATTAGAGGACAGTCGCCCCCTGCCCTCAGATCTCCAAACTTGTGTGCACTGAAGGACCACACCTACTGAGAGCCGCGCCTCGGGGACGCGGGGACCCGGGGATGGAGGAGCCGCTTCCTCCTTGAATCGCAGCCAGACCGGCTCACAGAGATCCTCTGCGAACAAACATACAGATGCACTTTGGTCTTGCCCTCGGCTCACTCATTTGTATTGACACCAGAAAATGTCTACCACGGAAGTATAATATATTCATGACTTCTACACTAACATCAAGACTTCTTTGCAATCAGTAGCCTAAGATAAATCTTAGACGTATTTCCTTTAGGAGTGAGACGTCTGTCAATTGTTTTTACTCTTTGGTAGCTCCGTATTTGGTAGAGAGCGGGTCTATGGGTTGGCTCATAGTCTAGGTTGGCTCATTATTCACTCTATGCTCGGCTCCATGGTGCAAACAAATACAGATCATATTCAAATTTGCACCACGTCAGATAAGTTGTTAACACAGTTATGCATTGTGTTGCCTAGTATGTAGATTATGACTACTTTGATTATTAACCGTTAAATTGCCTGCGTTTCTTTGATGAAAAAAATAAATAAAAAAAATCGGAAATCCTTTTTATCACCACTAGATGGCCACAAAGTTGCACTAAACTTTAAGAGTGTTCTCCTTGCGCATGGCTGCTTACAGAAAGGACTTGTGATAACTGCTTTAACCTCATGTCGTGGTCATAAATTGTGTTCATTCTCAGTGTGGACAGTCACAGGCCTCATGTGAAGCAGAAACTCCAGAATGCACTCACTGAGCTTTAGAGGCCGCACTAACACTGACTTGACTGGCCACATGTGCTGCTGGAGTTCAGGGCAGTAAATAAGTAGCCTTCTCAGAGCAGTCAGTTTAGTAGGCCTACGTTTTTTACTGAAGAGTCAAGACTCATCTTGTATTCTGATTGGATAATCAGCTCGAAAACGAAAAACCAGTTGAAAACGTCAACGACTTGGCTATCATGTAGGCATTATTTCGGTTGTTAAGAGTAAAAGCAAATTTCATGTAACATGTGTACCTCTTCTCTGGGGTCACCATTTGGTTATGTTTACAACATTTAAATACAATGTCGACATATACTACATTTGACTGATATCAACACGTTATGTTGTACTGATACTATAAACACTATAATTTAATTTAACTCAACTCTTCATCACAGTGTCCCTTTAAGACTTTGTGGATGGCTTTATGAATGCCTGTCTTCTATTTCTAAGCACTATTTTAGTGCCATTATTTTTTAACACATTTAAATACATACATATACAAAAAGAGAAGAGATGTAACTGTGGATTGGATAAGTCTTCTTAATACAAAAGGGTAACTAAAAAGAATAATACAGGTTTAAGCATGGACAAAGCCTGTAGGAAAAGTCAACACATCTTGTCTACCATGAGTCCCTCAATTTAAACTTATCACATGAGGTCATTACAGTATAAATTATTGCATAGGAATTCTGCATTAACATGTATGCATGTCATGCATGACATGTTTTGGCTGTAGTAGACTAGTGTTCTTGAAGAGGACAGCGGTAGAGTCTTCAAATCGTATTAAAAAGAAGCACTAAACATTTTTGTTACCTGCATATAAGGATGTTATCAAAGCAAATATTTGTAATGACAAAAATAATGAACATTCAAAAAGTTAGAAGCATGGGGGTGTGATGCTGTAAGTTTAACCATTTGAAATAATCCAGCAATAATAATCACAGCTGCTTTGCAATTGCTTGCAGTGAAAGCCCAGACTCCGAGTGCTTAGTAGTCATTTGCATTTGACTGACTCGTGAGTGGAAAAGAGTGGTTGATATGAGGCCTGTGGATGTAAAGATGTTGGTGGGGCACCTCACCACAAGGACTTTCCATGTTCCAACACACGTCAGCTTTCATTATAGGAGCTTAGTGTTACTGTAAAGGTCAGTCTCCGGGGGGCTTTTTCTTACAACTGGTAATTAGGGACTGTATAAGACTATAAAGCTTAACCAGTAATGGATAAGATATTGCAGGATGTAAAGATGTTGCTGTTGGCTATCACATTTTTCTATATGTACCGGTGACTGTATCATGCCAAGAAGCGGACCAGAAATCTTTTTTAGGTGTAAATGCTATTCACTCACATAAATGTAGTAGTTGACCTACTACAAGAATTTCCTTTCAGATGACCTGTTCCTTTGCATACCTTTTAGGGTTGGAGATGGGATCTTGGTCTTCACGCTTAATCCAAATTCAATTTATTTTTAAGGCGCAAAAAAGAAAACAAAATGTGTAATTGCACTTACATAAACACAACCATTTAAATTCAGGGTAAAATGAGATTAAGCCAGGAACTAAACCAGGATCAAGTCAAGTCTGTGTCACGTGATTGCACAAAAACTGGTCCAGAAAGTAAATACGTCCAAAAATACTACCGTTGTTTTGAATAAAATACTGCCTATTGACCAACCTTTTATCTTAAAGGTCCTACAATATTCAAAATTTACTCTTGTGAGCTTTAAGCCATGTTATAATGCTTGGGTGTTGTAATGTTTGAGTAACCCTTTATTATTAGTTTGCCAACATCTCTAAAGCTCAAAATGCTCTGTTCTGTGGAAAACTATCACTACTAATGTAGTGGTAGGTTTCAAGTTAAAAGCTACCTTTTATTCAGTAGCACTAACTATTATTAGCTATTCCAAAGCTGAAATTATCCAAAGGATACAAGTGAAAGTGTGGAGCACAGTGGAGCACTTCTTGTTTGATGAGGAAACACCATTATTACATAGCTCAGACAATAGCATAAGGTTAGGATGTTAGTTCAGGGGTAATTGCTCTAGACGCACAATCAAACTAACCATGAATATCCCCCTACACAGCAAATTCAAGAGTGTTAATTCAACCCATATATTGTTATTTTTAACACTTTTACCGTGTCATATGGGGTCCACAATAAAATTAGTTAAAACTACCCTTTCCAAAGTGAAGAAGGCTCAACACTGATAAAGTGATGTAACCACACTCCTCATAGTTGAATTTGACACTGAGGTACATTAGTGTATAGTGAAAAACTAATAACTTTATATTGCTATGTTTTAACACTTAATGAAGTAGAAATAGTGTAGAGTGTTCTTTATATTACACTATTCAATAGTAACTCTTTTTTCACTAAATACAGTGTAAATGCTGTGGTCATTCTAGTTAATAATACCTTTTACAAATGTAAAATAATTAAAACCGCCACTAAATTCCATTTCAACTTAACTTGTATTAAAACAATGCACATCATACAATCAACACAATTTAAACAAGTCATATGACACAATACTATTATTGCAAAATCCAACTGACAGCAGGAATTCTCTGTGGCCTCAACAGTTTGTCATAATGATTGTCATTTATTTTTCTTTAAAGTTGATTTTTCAATGCAAGCAGTCGATGGATGAATCAAGATCTTGTTTTGAATGGAATTCAGGCAAGCTCATCTCCAAAAATGAGAGGAGCATGTCTAACTGTTTGAAACAAGATCTTCTCTCCATTATATAAACTTAACAATGTTCATAATAGAGGCAGTCCTGCTACTTATGAAACATTAACATTGCAGAAACTTTTTTACCTCAAGAGTCAGTCTTTCACTCTTGGGGTTTCATTTGACACATCCAACGTCCATGTTGTAGACAGTTCTTTGAATATAGGTGTAAAGTTTGTGAGAGTGTGAGGACCAAGTGCCTCAAAGTGTTCACCAAATTCAGCCATGTCAACGATGACATAAAAAACCTTTGTCCTTCCCACTTCAGTCACAGGTAGAAAGGCCGTCCAGGCTCAACCGGCAAGAAATGTGTCCATACCGATCTGTAAAATAAAATATAGACTAGAATAAATTTAACATATTCAAGTAACCACCTAGCAAAACGGACTATGCAATATTTACTGAGCCATGAATAAAAATTAAAAAGTAATTATATAGTAAATATATTATGGGGCATATATCATTATTTGTTTGTTCCTATTAAGCAGGTGATTCTGTTGCATGAGCTGTATGTTTTTGTATACAGGACAGTGTTGAGAGTAACGCGTTATAAAAGTAACGAATTACAGTAATGCATTACTTTTTGCTGTAACGCAGTAATGTAAGGCATTACAGGGGAAAAAATTGTAATATTTTACTCGGTACAAATGTGAGTAACGCGCGTTACAATGTTTTTTTTTTTTACCTGGATTGAAGTGGTGGGTTTTTCTTCATACAAATTCGCTAAAATCACCTCGATATCAGCAGCGGTGAAACGCCGGAGATGCGCCCTCATAGACCTTCAGGTAACCGCGGGCGAAAGGACTGACAAAGAACTCCACGCTGTTTAGACCTGGTTTAGACCTGGTTTAGTCCTGGTTCAGTCCATATACAGCGCAAAAGTTATTTTGGTGAGAGTAACTTAAAGTAATGCAATAGTAATGTAATGCCTTACATTTTAAATGCTGTAATATTGTAATGTAACGAATTAGTTTGAAATGACAGTAATAGGTAATAAATACCGCATTACAGTTTCAAAGTAACTTGCCCAACAGTGATACAGGAACCATTCACATAAATAACTTGAAGGGTAATTTGAAAAAATTTAGGCCCTTAGAAAACATTATTTTTAAACGTAAGACCCACATGAAACAAAACATGTCATTAATCACGAAAAACAAACGCTACTAGCTGTTAGCTGAGCTTAGCTTCGGACGGTGAAATGTGCAGCGGGAGAATGGCAGAAAATTCCAATGTCGGGGTTTATATATGCAACTACTGGCAAAGGTGGAATGTCTGTGCGTTGCCATAAGAGATATAAACTTGTTTTGATTTAAATTTACACTTCATTTGAGGAGAGAAGCGCTGTAAAACCATGTAAAAACATGTAAAAAACCATGTAAAACCCAGACAACAGGTGACAACAATGAAATAAACATAGGAGACATTATTTCACCACCAACATTTTTGTATTCATCACTTGAAATAGCTCATAAATAGCTCATTACTGTCCTAAATCATCGTGTTAAATTCACTGAGTGTAGGACAGGCCTGTCACAATGACCTA